AGTAGATCATAAGGTTGACGGAAACTCGAGGACTGCGCCTAGCTGATGAGCCCCAAGAAGGGGGAAACCGGTCGTGGGCTTTCGAAGAGCTTTCAGCAACCTTGTGAATAGATTCTTTTATCAAAACTAGCATACATTTGGCACAGCTATACGGGGTTTCTGATGACTGCATACTTAGAGACATAAACAATAAGGAATCATTTATCGCACATTTAATTTGGTTTATAGGAGTCGCTCAAAGTTTTAGGATGCACACATACTGTGCACAGTAAAATTTGTATTGAGCCGATTCTTCCACCATCTTTCCTGTCATGTGCCATCCTCTTGATATCCTTTCCAAACCACGTAGCTTATCCCCGTCTGAAGTAGAAAATAAGACCAAATGTATAAAAGCATCCTAAACCAAACGCTCTGTTGAAAGTCTCCGCGAAACCAACACCGGGAGCAAATCAAAGAGCCACCATTAAAGCTGCACGAATGCGTCCTCTATCTTGCGGGTCCACGTTTTACGCCATGTAATACACCCTCGTCAATAATTTGCTTGTTCAGATCGACTCTCGGTCACCTGAGGGATACGGCAAAACATCGGTTCGCTGGCGCCAAGCTGGGCAAATATGACTGCGCCCGCTATGTTCATCAGCTCAACGCGTCCTCTATCTTGCGGGTCCACGTTTTACGCCATGTAATACACCCTCGTCAATAATTTGCTTGTTCAGATCGACTCTCGGTCACCTGAGGGATACGGCAAAACATCGGTTCGCTGGCGCCAAGTTGGGCAAATATGACTGCGCCCGCTATGTTCAACAGCTCAACCACTCTACAGCACTGGAGACGTATCTCATATGTTTTTAACTTTCGTGATGACGCTATGACTCCAGACGCTGAATACCTCATTGAAGCAGGCGGAAAAATTTCCGTAGAACGTGAGCGCCGATCAATTAAAAGCAATGAGGAAATGTGCTCTACGCGCAAACAGCTTTATACATCTTTTAAATAGCCCAGCATCGTGTGTCCCCTTGCATCATGCTCCGTCATGCACAAACTATTAAATATGTTCATTGTGTTGCAGCATTTGTGGTGTGTTAACAAGTCAATTTCCGCGCCTGTCTGTATGCCTGAAATGGAGTGGCAGATATCTGAGTAAGGTAGCAAAATGAAGCTTATTGTTGATGTTTGCTGAAATGAGGAATTGGTCGGGCTGCGTCCCTGATACGCTGGTATACAGATGTAAGAAAACTCGGAATTCCGTCCGTGTGTATTGGAAGTATGAGCGAAATTCGTACTTTTCAAAGCTACTTTTGTGTGGTGAAACTACCAAAGGAGGTTCCGCCAAACGAACAACACCCAAAAACAAAATGAGGTCGCAACCTGTAGAGTCCATTGTGAACGTACATTCACTTGCAAGCCGAACACGAGAGAGAACTTGACTTAAAAACTGTGAAGAAACGATAAAAAAGCAAACTGTGTTAATAAACAGTTAGCCAACCGCCCACAGTAACCAGCTTATTAAGTGGGGTGGTGGTGTGGACAAGCACTGGCGAACGTGTTTACCGCAGTCGGAACTCGAGCCCCATCTCTACGCCTCTAATTCACTTTCTTATTCGGGTGAGTGGACACATAACTGCGTAAGGTATTCTAATTGATCAGGACATTACGGGCACTTATTCCTCACTCACCCCAAAACAATTAGCCGACACCGCCGCCCAGAGGAACATTCAGCAATTTTTCAGTCACCGCCGACATCCTGCAGTCTGAATAAATAACAGACACACTGACGCACCATTCTGAACGAACTCTGGCCATGGAAGACATATTCGAGGCTACCATTTCGAGGTCTACTGCCCTCAATAATATCCAGCTTCATTCTACAGACATCCAGACTTCTCCAGTTACCCGCAAATCAGTTTACCGCCTGCTTCCGCCACTTTACCCACCTCAAATTCGGCTACCTGAGACCTGCCAACCTTGACATCCACTGCTTGGGTTTTTATTCCTCGCGCCGATAAAAGAGCTTGGCGCTATTTCCCTATTGAGTGGGAGTGGACATGCTTTCCTCTCCCAAGCTGTTCGGCCGGCATTTTGCTCCGTAACCATCCCCTCCCGTGTTTGCATAAAAGAGCTTGGCGCTATTTCCCTATTGTTTGGGAGTGGACATGCTTTCCTCTCCCAAACTGTTCTGCCGGCATTTTGCTCTGTAACCATCCCCTCCCGGGTTTGAGTAAACCTTGGTAACCACACTGGCTTAAAGCACTACCTGAGCTGTTCGACCAAAAATAATTTCCCTCCATATGGCCCTTTAAACACTCCATCGCTGCTCTCGGTGCGTCCTCAGGGAAGAGGAAAAAGCACCTCTGGCACATCTGCATATGACTGAATCCCAAAAGATCCATGTGCGCATGCTACCTCACGACGCATTTCATGGGTAATGGCAAGTCCTCGAGATAGACAAGACATACAAGACATCAAGACGTCCACCCCCGAATAGGTATCTGTACTAGGGGAAAACCGAAAACTCCGGATGGTGCCTCAGGAATTCGGACTACTCCATCATTCATACATCACAAAAAGTTGCTTACCAGCCTGCCAGTACGTGCCCAGCTACACTAAACCGTGGTGCTGCCATGGATTGCTCCTTAATACCTGCGGCCTAGAGGCCGGATGGCCTTGAGGATTACTTCTCAGCTGCAAGCTGCCAAAACTCCCATCTAAAACTGACCGCCCTACTGGTCTGGATGGCCGTCCAAAATATTTAAAGGATGCACCTGCCTGCTGGACCATATAAATCTACTTCTATATTTATCCTCGATCGCCTCCACGCATTGATCTCACAAGCCTGGATGCCGCTATCCCAGAAGATGCTGTAGCGGAATAAGACCCTACACTAAACCGTGGTGCTGCCATGGATTGCTCCTTAATACCTGCGGCCTAGAGGCCGGATGGACTTGAGGATTAGTTCTCAGCTGCAAGCTGCCAAAACTCCCATCTAAAACTGACCGCCCTACTGGTCTGGATGGCTGTCCAAAATATTTAAAGAATGCACCTGCCTGCTGGACCATATAAATCTGCTTCTATATTTCTCCTCGATCTCCTCCACGTGTTGATCTCACAAGCCTGGATGCCACTATCCCAGAAGATGCCCACCTTAGCATGAGGTTAGGACTCGTAAGCTCACCATCGTTTTTCAGAAGCACCAACAGGATCGGTGACGGGGAGCAACCATTGCCACAGCGAGTCTACGATTCTCAGGCGTCACAAAATTTACACACTTAATGCGCGTATGAATGCACCCAGAGCGAATAATGAACTGAGCACTGACCTTGGAGCGCTTATGAGATTATAATGTGTTCTCGAGCTGATGGGTAAGTTTTGGGAACTTTTCGGAAACAAATGCGTTGTTTGTTTGGTTTTTTTCACCAGAAACTTGTTTTTAAGAACAATAATCCTAGGGCTTTGGTGAAGTGTAATAATTTACTGGATTCATGGCTTGAGAAAATTCTTCATTCCCTTATTCACTTTGTATTCAAATAGTTCTAGATTTTGATAAGTAAGCAGGGTACGCTACGTCTTCGAGTGTAAAACCCTTCGTAGAGAATCTTGAAATGCATTATAAATGAGTGGAGGCAGCTACCAGGCCATAAGAGGAGCACAACAGTTAATACAACAACTATTGTACAGAAAGTAGAAGTCAGATACGCACGCTGTTACTTAAGGCTAACGTCAGACATTGGTTTTATGTGTGCCGATCCTGCAAAGCTCTGGGTTCTACTTACCAAGATGTCAATCTTCAGTCGGATCACGTCATTGATAGCTCCCATTTTCTGACACTTTGCAAAACAAGAGTTTTCTCTTTTCCCTCTGCCCGTATTTATTCCTCGGAATTTTCGAGTCTCTTTCCAAAAGCGGCAACCGGCAACGTCAGCTACCGGGGCATATCACGGTGGACCTGACTTATTGAAGGAAGAGAATCGCTGCTGTCAGAGGTGGCGCAAAATTTATGCACAGCGAAAGTCAAAGAAACTGAACGTATCAGATGAAAACAAAAAGGGAAATCTCAGTATAAAAACTCCATAGTTAGTCTTGGTGAGCTTATCTTTTGCGTGGCGTGCTGAGTAATCCAGTTAAGCGTGAACTAATAACCAAGGAATCGAAAGAATGCACCCTCCAAACAAGCCCACCAGAATAGAAAGCAATTTTCTGTGATACTGCGCCTTCCAGCTGTTTTTCAATGAAACTCTATCACGTGCCTTTGGGGACAAAATTCCTCATCAAAGTGAACGATGGGCATATACTTTATGACATCCACTCCAAAGTAGCGCCTGAGTAGATTTTTCCTGACGGTTTGTCAAAATTAAGATGCTTCTGCTTTAATGTCAGTCAAGATACTAATATATACGGTGGCTGTAAGGCCCAGTAATATGCGATGGTGGCTGTAGTCAAATTCAACCCTGGACTCACGGCTAAAAATATGACTGCAGCCTGCGTCGAATGTTGAAGGAAGATTAAGGAGCACAGCTATGATAAGAACGAAATTCAGGAGAGAAAATGACCGGTGCACAGTGCAAAACATCGGACAAGCAATAAAATGGAGAAGTAGGTTTAGAATGGAGATGTGTAATTAGGAAACGTGGAAGTATAAAATAATTACGGTGACGTCGGGATGACGCAATATCCAGTAAATTGATGAGATCAGTAGAGGTGACGTCCAGGATGACTAAAGTGATGAACCAGAATCGATAATGGTAGGTATACTCGGTAAGGTTGTCCATAGGAAAGCAGCAGCAGGTTCAGAAAAAGTTCAAACTGCTGATATCGTCTGCTTCCTTTCTGGTGATGCAGGTCTTGACCATTCGGTGTTAAGCATTTTGAGTTAGACTGCAATAGTTAGGTCGATATTATTTGTTCCAAAACGTTCTATGATTATGACTTTGTCCTTCTGTCAGATTACTTAAAATAAGTCATCATATTGACGCACCAGCGGGTTCACGTTCGATTGTTCCGACGAAAAGCTCAAGTGCGCTTGATCGGGCCTTGCAAATTGAACAAACCATGGCCAGAAGTGTGTCGCCAGGTTAAGGTCAAGCATCAAGCATTAGGAAGCTCGTCAAACGAAGCCTCGTATGAGTAAACCTTGAAAGCAGTTGAAGAAAACGGCCTCGGGAAGGTGAAAGCTCTGGTCTCAAAGTAGTGTGGCACTAGACTTTCAGGACTACTTGGGGTGTGGAATGAATGCTCACAATAACTCTTTCAAATGACGGTAATAGTAAGCGCATTTCAAGCTGGGAATGGTATCTTCTACCCATACGTATTGCCTGGAGATAATCGTTGTAGTGAATATAAGATGGCGTTTATTTTTGGCATAGAGATAAAATCAAGCCATCGGGTATAGTTATATCGCTGAATAGTGGAAAAGGACCAAACAAGACCAAACGGATGTGGGTTACATGGGACATTACGTAAAAGGGGGACTAATAAGAGACCTAATGTGTTATTGCAATTTAGGCTGTTAGCACGAAAAACAGGAACGTATATTTCTTTCGGATATATAACCAGGATTTACCAACTGATTTCACATTACATGCGGCACAAGTGCTGACATAGACAACGCCGTGGAGAAAACAGAAGACTTGCCACCCAAACTTGGTAGCTATGATAAGACTCTTTTATCTGGTAAGGAAGCCGGAGGCAAAAACTCACGCTGCATACATGGTAACCGGTCTACTGCGCGGGGCCAGAGGATCCAAAAAGTAGCCGAAAGAGCATGGTCATAGAGCTGGGGTCATTGTCGGTCGGGATATTAGAAAGCGCTCTTAAGAGCGCATCTATAATAATGTCAAAAGAGGAATAACACGTTCACCAAAAGCAACGCCATAAAGGCAACGCGGCAGAGTTCGCAGTATTCAAAACCCGCAAACGAAAGGTGCCAGATACACGGGAGAAGTCAAAATTTCGGTCATGTTGTGCGATAAAATAAAAGTAGATACGGAGGAAGTTGGTCTTTTTTAACCAAAAAGAGGCTCGGTTGTAAGAATACCAACTATTAACTAATGACACATATAGTGTGCACGTGCGATAAATTCTTGTAAACTTTTGTAACAGTCCTTTTGATAAAAGACATCCACACTACAATAGAATAGTCGGCTATGAAGTTATTGGGGGACGACGGTCATAGGAAAAGCAGCATACTTTATTACCAGCCACTGTAAATTCTAGCCACTTGTTGCAATTTGATGCACTTTACGGGGCAGAACGGGGCAGATCCAAGACGAACCGTTATTATCTATTAGTATTAGAATCTATGACCTCAAATGTAGATGACTGTGGGCTAACTAATGTCTCCTACAGCCAAAAACTCATCGCTATGATCCACTTTACTGACGACGTCATCCAGCTTGGTGATCAAGCGTCTGCAATCAAAGTGTCCACCCAAGCACACAAATTAGTGGATTTATAGGCTGCCTGAGCCATTAAACTTATCTCCTATGGGATGTTTCTTGTGCTTATTAGTGTGCAGCGACGGGTAACAAAGTTTAATATCACTTACATTTCCTTTTGGTTTGAGTAAACGTGGTGCGTGGAATTTTAATAAAAAAGCCTAAATAAGGCAAATGTTTGTGGAGTTATGGTCATTTAGTTTGGTAACCAGACCCAGACTACTCTAAAACTGACGAATTAAACGAACCTCCGTCCTTCCGTAATAAGTTGTAATGGTCATGTTGAAAACAAAAAAATACATTTTGGTTGCCCTTTATCGTGATTTTATGATAGGAGATAGGGTTTTGTATTCTTCTCCCGCCCAATAAGGGCTTCCGTAGAAATTATTAAGAAACGTGCTTTGTTCCAGCGGCTTGACAGCTGAGGCCGTTGAAAACCCATGTCCCAGATTAATATTTGGCTGTGCCTTTACTTAATGTCAGAGGTTTCTTCAAACCAGGTGGCCCTAATCAATGCAAATGGCCCTTCTAACCTGTTTAGTGGATGCCATATATGAGGTGCACTGATAAGAAAAGGCGCTCCAGCCTCTTGTACCGCTTTTCCTTTACTATTTGGAAGAGGAACCCAGATTTGCTCTAATTATTTAATGTTCTTTTGTAAGATCCACCGCATGGCATGTTTTAATATACGCTGGGTCCGAAATTTCACTGCTCACTCAAGATGCAGTCTGAGATGCACGGAAATTATGATTTTTGTTCCGAAGAACAAATTTCACTGCTCACTCAAGATGCAGTCTAAGATGCACGGAAATTATGATTTTTGTTCCTTTCCACTGTAGGAGTTTGAGTTTTATGTTTAAAAGTAAGAATGAACAACCAAAGAATCATAAAAACTTGTTTTCTATCAAATTTTAGGGCGGATTTGTAGTTTGGGTTTTGTTTGCTGTAAGTAGGTGAGCTGCGTATGTAAGCAGGTCGTACTTTAGGTGACAGTTACAAATTTCCTAGATTTGCTTGTTTGTTCCCTGAAATGTTAATCCCCATACAGCCGGACTACATAAACAAACCAGCTCATAATCTCAGCTGCTAATACGCACCTGTTACCATTTTACACTGTTGGAAGAGTGGCCAACTGACCAGACCAGCAAATAAAATCCACTAACTAATCGTCAATTAATCTATTTGTTCTTGCCCCTTAGACCTTCCATCTCATTATCACGTATTTAACGTGGTCAGACGTTTTCCTCGATCAACAAAGACTGTGTAGCTGCCGGTCGTCTTATATAACCAGATTTTATACCGCCCTCATACCCTAGATTGGCGATGCAAACAACATCACCCACAAGGCTACTTTTTAAAGTGTGCATCGTAACTTGGGCAAACGGATTTAGGCTAGGGTTCATATCAATTTGTCAATATTATTAATATAATTCGGTAATGACTGCGAATAGGTACAACAACAACGATGAACATCAGAATTCAGAGGTAATTTAAATACAATACATTTATAATATAATTACCGTGCTCAGCTTGCTCGGGAGGAAATCCATTTAACCTCTCATAAGTCATCAGAAAGTTGAATTGTTGAGAAACGCCATGTTCTCAGACATCAGGTACATTACGAGAAAATCTCATGACAGTGAGACGTCCGTTTTACGTTGTAATTGCTAGTCAATTGGCCATCAGCGTGAAGGCTGTGTCCGCTTTCTCGTAACTGAACGTCTTTCATCGTTACTTGTTTACTTAGGTCGGCAGCCACTTTCAACTTCACAAAGAAACGTTTTTAGGTGTAGCACCTTTAGTGGAATGGATGTGCATAGCGGATCTCGGCTGCCGAATGAGTAGCAAAGCTGAAGCCCATCTGAACATCAAGCATTCCGAGACGTCTGTGGTATCATTAGCTCAGAAACGTAAAAATGTATTTTTTC